TCCCACAGATTCCTCCAGTGATCCCTGTGAGGTGAGACCTGAGTGGGCCTCCTGGGAAGCATCCTGCAATGTTGGGAGAGCTGGATGTTCACCTTGGACTCCCTGTTTCCCATTGGTGAAACTGTAGGCACAGGGATGCCCTCTAGGTGTGGCACTGTGCTAGCCTGTGGGAATGACAGTGCAGTCAGAGTGCAGCCACTCCTCTTACCCTTCTAATGTGGTCTTATTTGGTCTCCGATCTGAGGTGAATGGGGGGGCACTTTAGCCTCACTCCTGGATTCTGGGATTTTTTTCAATGGTGTCTTGTCTGTAGATAGTTGCTGGTTGAGTTTTTGTAAAGGGGAATGACCTTTTTTGCTAACTTGATGACATCACCCCACAGGTTTTATGCACACACAATCTTGATGTCTGTGAAAACTGAAGTTGGGAATGACCTTTTTTGCCAACTTGATGACATCACCCCACAGGGTTTTATGCACACACAATCTTGATGTCTGTGAAAAACACTTGTCTTTTCCACTTCAATTTTCATGCCTTTTGTATTTTTTCTTGCTTCATTGCATAGGCTAGTTCTGCTGTACAATACTGAATGGAATATCTGAGAGCAAACATTCTCTGTTTTTTCCCAATCTTGATGGAGAAATGTTCAATGTTTCACCATTAAGTATGATATTAACTGCAGGGTTTTTTTGTAGATTCCTTTTATTAGATTGGAGGAGTTCCATTCTCTTTTTGGATTATTGAGAGGTTTTAATTGTTAATGGGCTGAATTTTATCAAATGCATTTTCTTGTTGAGATATTTTCTCTATTTTTGGTTAACTTCGTGTATTTATTTCAAGATTAGAATTTACATTTCTAGTATTAAACCTTCTTATTATTAAACTTTTAACACGTTTGCTTATATTTTGTAAAGAATTTTTATATTTATGCTCATGAGAAATACTGGTCTAATTTTCTTTGCTGCAGTGTTTTTGCCATGCTTTTGTGTCAGAGTAATTCTGACCTTACAAAGTAAATCAACAAATATCCTTTATTCCTATGTTTCTGAAAGAGTTTTTGTAAGAGCAGTATTATTTTTTCCTTAAATATTTGATAGATTCGCGCCAGTGATACCATCTTTGTGGGGAAATTTTTGTTAAGGAAAATAAATTTCTTTAATAGATACAGTATTGTTAATGTTTTCTGTTTCATTTTGTACTTTTGTGTTGGATTTTTCAAGGAATTTGTCCATTTCATCTGAGTTATCAAAGTTATTGGCTTAAAGCAGCTCATAATTTTTTTATCCTTTTGATATTTGTAGGGTCTTTAGTGATATCTCCTGTTTCATTCTTGTTATTGGTTCTTTTTGTATCTTCTCTTTTTATTTTTGATCATTTTTGCTAGGAGTTACCAATTTCATTGATCTTTTTAAAATAATCGACTTTTGGCTTTATGGTTTTTTTTTGTTGTTGTTAGTTTTTTTTTTTTTAATTCTAGGCTCTCCTTTTTTGCTTGGTATTTTTCCTTTATCCGCTGAGTCCATGGAATATTAACAGTAGCTCTATTAAATAAAGTACTTCTTCAAGTTATGTCTAATTTGTTCTTTTCTAGTTTTTTAAAGAAAAAACCTAGATCATTGATTAAAAATGTCTTTTCTAGTATAGGAATTTAAAGCTTCTAATTTCCTTCTAAGCATTGCTTTAGTTGCAACTTACAAAATTTAATATGCTGTTGTTCATTATTATTCTATTAGAGTTTTCTTACAGTTTCCTATGAAATTTATTTCTCAACACATGAATTATATAAAATGTTTAATTTTTAATTATTTGGGGATTTTCCAGCTATCATATAGTTACTGATTCCTTATTCTATTTGATCAAAGAATATACTTTGTAACATTTCAGTTATTGGAGACTTAAATTATGACACAGCATATTATCTTTCCTGGTGAACATTGAAAAGAAATCTTACTCAGCAGTTTGGGGATGTTGTATTTTATAAATGTAAATTAGTTCAGGATAGTTGATGGTATTATTTAGATCAACTGTGTCAGTATACATACTGATAGTTTTGACTTCTACTTTATTACTGAAAGAACAGTGTTGACATTTTCAACTATGATTGTCTTTTTCTCTTTAAATTTATTAGTTTTTGCTTTATTTTTCTCATATATGTATGATTTTTATGTCTTTCTGTTAAATTGATATTTTTGTTATTAAGCGAACCTCCGTATCTTTGAAGATATTCCTTTGACATTTACTTTGATAATATTATAGCCCAAGTTTTCTCATATTGCTGTTTACATAGTATTTCTTTTTCTATTTTATGTTCAATCTATCTTTGTATTTAAAGTTATTAGAGATAGCATATAGTTGGATCTTTTTTTTTAGTATAATCTGATGATTTGCCTTTTATGGGGAGAATAAGGTTCATTTTCATTATATGTGATTTTAAGTCTACTGTCTTGGTATTTTCTTTGTCTCATGCCTTTTGTTTCTCTTAGTCAAATGTTTATTATTTCATTTTATTTTGAGTCTTTGCTTTTTAGCTTATTCCTATTGCAGTTAACTTAATTTTTAGTGTTTAGTCTAGGATTTATAATATGTATTCTTAATTCGTCATTGGCTACTTAGAATTAACATTGAACCACATTGTTCTCCAGAAATATAAGAATCTTAAAGTAGTATAATTCCATTTACCACCCCCCCACCGCCATTTGTGTTGTCATGCATTTTATGTCCACATATGTTATAAATGACACAACAATTATTTGTACTTTAAACTAATATATTTTTTAAGGAAATGAATACCCGTGCATTTCCAATTTCCAGTGCTTTTCATTTCGTCTTGAAGTATTACATTTCTGTCTGGTATCATGTTAGTTAATTCAACATAATGGACAATTTAAAAAGTATTTTTTGTTGTACAGGTGTATTTTCCTTCATCTGAAGATGGCTCTCACTTTCAGCTTTAAAGAATAACTTTACTGGATGTAGAATTCTGGACTGAACATTTTTTTCCCCCTTCTTTCATTACTTTGAAAATATCCTCTCATTTTCTTTTGGGCATCTGTTGTTTCTGATAAGTTAGAAGTTCCCCTATATGTTGTGTAGTTTTTCTATCTGCTTTCAAGATTTTTCCTTTATTTTTGGGTTTTAGCACTTTGACTATGATGTGTATAGGATTAGGTTTCTTTGTAGTTATTCCTTATGGGATTTTTGAGTTTCTTCAATTTTTAGGTTAATGTTTTTCACCAAATTTGGGAAATTTTCAACCATTATTCAAAAAATTTTTTTGGTCCTCTTCTCTTTCTTCAATTTAATATGAATCTACAAATATTTAATAGTTTTAAAATCCTTTCTTCTAATTTCAGTATCAGTGTCATCTTGGAATCTGTTTTCTTTAATAGCTTTGTTTCCCAGCCATGGGTATATTTATTGCTTGTTTGCATGTCTGGTAGTTTTTAATTGTATGCTGGACATTATGAATTCAACATTGTAGAGAGTCTGGGTTTTTTTTTTTTAAGTATGTTGAGTTTTGATCTGAAATGCAGTTAATTTAATTGGAGCTATTCTTAATCCTGTCTAGGCTTGCTTTTAGGCTTTAATTAAGCCAGATTAGGGTAGTTCTTACTCTTAAGACTTGATCTTTGTGGTGTACTGCCTGAGCTTTACCTTCCTATTCTATAGTCAGAAAATTGTCCAAAGCCAGAGAGCTTGGGTGAAAGTGAAACCAACCTTCTGTGTTTCTTTTCTCAAAGATCATGGTATGCCCTGCCTATTATCTGATGTTTTGTCCAATTTTATAGTTATTTACAGCAGGAGGGGAAGTTCGGTGCCCAGTATTACTGTATTATGGCAGGAAACAGAATGAACAGAAGTAAAACTCATTCAATTTTACATATACAGAATAGATACTTACAGTTTCATCTGCAAAATAAAAGTATGGCAGGTATAATAAAAACTTTATAAATGAATCAGTTGTTAAGACTAATTGCATATTTGGGAGAGTTGCTGAAAATTAATCAGAAAATACTATTTATTTCAACTCTTGTTATGATTGCGTTATACATGTTTTCAGAAATAGGAATAAGAAGTCCTTGGTATTGATAGTTTCTTTATTAGTGACTCTCTTTTGAAGTCAAAGCTGCTTTAATTGCAAAGAATAGGAATCCATTCACATTGTTCAAACAAAAATAGAAAGATTATTTAAGCATGCAGATTTACCACAAAATAAGTTATGTTTGATGGGTGAAATTCCTAGAGAAGATGAATGAGGCACTCCTCCAAAAGCCTTGAAAACTTTTTTGAACTTTGGTGTTTTCACCTGTATATTAGAAAATTTAAAATCTACCTTTACTTTCTTCACCTCGTGAGATTGATGCTAGCCAACATTTCTTAACCTTGTGAAGTTACATTTAATTTTTAAGTTACATTTCAGTGTTACATAAGAATGAATTGTTTTCCTTGGTGGGCGGCAAGAATGTTCTTTGTATTATCACTTCTGAGCATCATTGCCATATATAGTTAGTGGTTAATAAACGTTTGAATAAATGTTTAAATGAGAATGTATATTTGAAAAGACTTTGAAAATTATTAAGTGTATGAATGTGTGGAAGATATTTTTTATTAAGATCTTGTACTAATTTGCAAAGTATTCTTTTTATGCTTTTAAATTTAAAATCTTATATTAACTTATTGGAATTTTTAAAGTATTTTTAAAATTGAAATTACTTTAAATTGGAAGGTCTAGGTTAGTGAATGTGTATTGACATATTAAACAATACATTTTTGTTACTTTTTATTTTTTAGAAGTAACTGAATCTCTGATTTTTTTGTTTTGTTTTTGTGATCTTTCTGCATTAAAGTATAGGAATAAAGAGTAATGGTTAATTTGAGTCTACTATGGACATCAACAAATAGCAATAATCCATTGCCTGAATTTTTGTTATGTCATTAACTTCCCAAACATGTATTTTTGAATTTTCTGACTTAACTAATTTTCTTTTCTAATGTTCTAGCTCTGTGTCAAATATCAACGTGCATCATTGAAAAGATAATTTTGAAGACATGTTTTGCTGAAAAGACAACTGAGAAAAATTTTACGAATGGGATGAACACGCTTCAGTTAATTGACTACCTACTGCAATTTGAATGTTAACATTACTCAGCTGGTACAGTTACCTAGTGATGTACCTATTCTCACAATACCCTATTTCAGTGTGCTTGTCTTGATTAAAGAATTCAAAGTGGAGTACCGTAAACTTGATATGGATAATAAAAAGAAAGACAAGGACAAATCAGATGATAGAATGGCACGACCTAGTGGTCGATCGGGACACAACACTCGAGGAACTGGGTCTTCATCCTCTGGAGTTTTAATGGTTGGACCTAACTTTAGAGTTGGAAAAAAAATTGGATGTGGCAATTTTGGAGAATTACGATTAGGTAAGACTCTTTGTTTATTCTTTTATGTTGGAAGCATCTTTTTTTTTTAATGAAAGATACTTTCTAATGAAAATTACTTATTTAATTGTTCAGTTTGATGGTTGTAGTAATTTAAAGAATATAGATGTTGGAATTTTTTATGTACTTGTACCTTCATTTGTAACGAATTAGTATAGGAAGATCTGTTTACTTGAGATTAACCATCCAGAATATGAGAAAAAACAAAGTAAATTAATAAGTCCTAGCAGGCTGAAATAGGTGCCAAGAAAGCCTTTACAGTGTATTCTTTAGGAATGATATTTAGGCTACTTTTTCAGATTTGAAAACATTTAATATCTGATTAATTTGGGAGGATATGTGTACCTTAATTTCAAGGTAATATACTGAAACTGCATAAAAATCAGTAAAATTTACATTGTTGTAATTTATTCCCTCTCCGCCCTCGGGTGGGGCTTAGGAATCTATATTAATGAGAGACAGGATGTACTGATTTAGTTGATTCTTATAATCAGGCAAGTTTGGGAAACATTGTTTTAATTAGACCTCCAGACTCTACATTTAAAGAAATTGAAACTCAGTCAGGGCCAATGTCACACAGAAATTTAATGTCAGACTCAAGACCCAAATCTAGGTTTTTAACTCCTGGAACATTAGAGATGTGGCTATGTTTGTTGAACAGAAAGGAGGGCAGCATGGTTATATGGGATTCAGTGTTGAGGTACTTTGAGGGCTCTGGTCAACATATACCGGACTGCACATGCTGGAAACTTTAGAAGTAAAAAGAAAAAACTTGTCTTTAAAATTTTCCTTATATCTAACCCCGCTCATTAGAAATAAATTCAATTGTGTGTTTATCTCCTCTACTCGACTACTTCTTTTCATCTTGTAAAACACCCTAATTTGTAGTTACTCTTTCATTTTATTAGTGTTTTATGTAGTTAATGTACATTAAATCTTTAAATGAAGCAAGCCAATGAAAGGTAATGACATACTTTGTACATAGCTATAATATGATGTGACCGTCAGACTCTTGCATTTTAGTAGGGACTCACATATTTGAAAGGGTTAATATTGTGACATTTTATTTTTCGAAGGATATTGGATTAGATATTTTGAAATTTTTAAACTGTTTCTGATTTTGGAGTTAGAAAAACCAGTTTATTGTCTAACTTTGTACACTGTAATCCATTCATTCAAAATTCATTGCATTTCTTTCACTTATGAGGCGTGATTAGTCACTGATGATACACCGGAAAAGTAAATAAATTGCCTCTCCCATTATGGAGCACATAAGTCATTTAACCATTTGGACCCTCAAATTCTTCTACTTTAAAATGGGACTATTTCCACTTTCTAGGTTAGTGTAAAGATTAAATTTAGATGATAATATAAAAGGACCAGTACTATGCCTGCATATTTTGGAAAACAATGGTTGTTCTGCTCCTTTAAAAGACAATAGCAAGACATTTGTTCTTTTAAAAATTAAAATTATGGCATATTATTTTAAAATTTATTACAAATTAGGTCTGCGGTTATATATCATGCCATATATATATTTGTACAATATCTAATGTTTTCTATCTCTTTGCATATATGAGTATAGTACTATAGTACTTTGGCCATTTTTATTCAAAATTGGTTTTATAGAATTCATTTCAAAATAACTGCATATATACATATCTATATACATGTATGTGTGTGTGTGTGTGTACACACAAAACAAATCTAGTGGACCATTTTAACCAGGGCAATGTGAGAAACTATATGTACTATATACTGAAACTATAATATGTTATAAACTGAAATAGCTGTAAAATACTCCTTTCTTTTACAGTGTGTGAATAAGCAGGAATATGAATAAGATGATTTATTAGTTCGTCCATCCATCCATCTATCCATCCATTGCCTACCTATCTGTATCTATCTAATCTGTCTATGGATAGTTATTGTACATTTGTCTACATTTATTTCAATATATTATTTATATATGTGTATCTGTGTTTTATGTGTATTTATTATATACAGTTGACCCTTGAGCAACTGAATAAAGGGGCATTTTACTCCTTTTTTTAAAGGTGTAGAATGAATTCTCTGTACAGAAAAAGCTATTATAGGCATTCTTTCTATACCTGGATAAACATGCTAGTGTTAAAAGCTGGTTTAGATTCTTAAAGTACTTTCTTTAAAACCATATTAGTAGATACATCCTGAAAATTCAATTCCTGGCACTAAAATTTTTGTGATTAGTATTATGTAAGAAAGAATATGAAGTATACATGTCATAGGTAAGTGGTTTTCAAAAAAATGCTATTGGCATTTTGGGCTGGAGAGTTTAATTTTTTGTAGAGGACTGTTCCACATATTGCATGGTGTTTAGAACTTCACATCTCTTGGGCACTAAATAGGAGTTACACCCCCCACACAACCCCAAATGCCCCAAGGAGAGACAGTATTACTCACTGTTGAAAATACGTTTATGGGTAATTATTTTAAAAAATAACGTCGGACATAAAAACCTGGCCTTGAGTATTTTAAAAAATAGGTAAACATTTAAAATTCAGTTTAACTAAATGTTTTTACTATCATTTTTATGTATATTTTTTATTGTAAAATGGTGCATTCATATATATATATATATACACATATATATTTTATTATCTATATTGGTGGTAAGGCTTGAGTTCTGTATATTAGTAGATATATTTCTAGCTTAGACAGTCAACCAAAACCCTTAGAAATGTTTTTAATAGGCACTGAATGAGACCAACATAGCTAACTAAGATACGAAGTTGTACATATTTAATTCTTTCTGTATATGTTTTATACATTCTGTATATGTTTTAAGATGTTTTGACATCTTCAAAAACCTTTTCCGGCTCGGAGGAGATTACTCCACCTTGGACTAGCCAATTCTTAGTTGGCAGCATGCCTTTGATCTGCAAACTAGAGAGTCTAGAGCAATAGCTCCTCTATCTGGCTTATACATCTCAGGAGGTTCTGTTTCTCTTCCTTAATCATTCCATGGCCAGGTACAAAACAGCTAGAGTCCACCACATAGCCCAAAGGCCACCAGAATTATTTGCTACCAGAATTATTTAGACTAACCATTCCCGAACTATTTATCTTGCCCTACTTTGCCTTTCCTGTGGAAATTCCAATAAAGGCCTTGGCCCAAGCTCTCTCCTTGCTCCTGTCTTCTGCCACCTGGCTAAAACATGATGCTTCCCCCCATGACACCCTTTCCAGGACCTGTGGGTATAGTAAACCTAGTTTTCCTGAGCCTCTTCTGTGTCTCTTCTAGTGGCTACACCTGACTGACCATCATGCAAAAGAACACAGAACAAGGGTATTATATATTGCTTTATGGATTTCCATATCTGAAATAAGATATTGTAACTTTTGACATAATTTAGTATACCACAGAAGTTCCCATAAGTTCTTTTATTTTTGTTTCTTGTCATCTTATTCTATATTGCCCATAACTCTTATTTTATTGTTTATATTTAAGAATTGTTGAAAATTCTGTAGGCCTTACATTACATATCAAATAAACATGCAGATCTGAGTGGATTCATCATTTTTATGTTTATTGATTTTCTACTGTTTCTAAACAAAGTCTATTATAACACTTAGTTGAAATATGTGCTAATAAGGAATAGACTGTTGTGCTATGGCAGAAAGATCCAGAATACAGTGGTGTTAAGCAAAATAGTTTATTTTTCTTTCATATAACACATACCAGAGGGAGAGCACCCAGTGCTTTCAGAGTACCTCTGCATCCTCAATATGTGGCTTCAGTCTCTGTGTGTAAGGTCATTGCTCCAGTTGTTGCCATCTTCCAGCCAGCAAGAAGTAGTAGAAGGGCCAGGAGAGCACACATTTATTCTTGACAGTGGGGAGTGACATACCTCATATTTAGAACTTAATCATGTGGCTACACACAATGAAAGAGAGGTTGGAAATGTAGTCTGTAGCTGGACAACCCCATTTTTAAATTAGGGCATTGTATTATTATAGGAGGGAACATGGGTATTGATGAGTAACGAGTAGTCCCTACTATAAACATATATATATTGTTTATGTAGGACATAGTTTTCTATAATAATTACCATCCAAATACCACAAAATTGGCAAAACCATCTTTTCAAGTTTATGGCACAAAGTTCTATTGGAAATCTATTTTAAAATTGGGTTAAAACATCAGTTATCTGGAATCAGTTTTATATGGAGCCTTATCTTAACTGGATTCCCTCTACACATAAAGTTCTTTTCTCTCATTCATACTATAAAAACACTTCGTTTATACATAATTTGTTTGTTCATGCATGTAACAAATATTGATTGAAAGCCAACTACATAAGGCCTTATGCCTATGCTAGGTGACAAAAATGTGTTGATAGTGTTGCTTAATTGTTGTTCATGTTTATAAATATAACCCTCAAAGTTCAGCAAAATCTTTAATGTCCAAAAAAAAAAAAAAGTGATGGTTCTAGGATTTAGTGCTTTAAATGCCAACAAAAACTACTTTTTGAAATATTTGGTATAATTTTGTTCTGTGAAATCGGTTTTTAACTTATCTTCTTGTCCTTTGCCTCTCATGTACTTGTGAATAAATGCCATATACAAAATAATTATGAAAAGATGATATCTCGAGGAAATACAGATTTTGTCTTTGAACTCAAAACAGAATTGTTTCTTTGTTAGACATCAGTTCCTCAAGATTAAGGTACTCACTGTACTGCTAAATTATTCACTATACATTTACTAGAGGAAGCCTAAAATTCCATTCATAATGTGTTCTTGAAAATGTATATGAAGTCACATCTATACACTAATTGACTAAAAATATGTTTTCTAGTATTATTTTTTTATATTTATGGGCTCAGTGAGTACCTGAATACAGTTTAACATTCACCATTTTTGGTACTCTATTGAGTTCCATCTTTGTGCCAGCTGTAATGAGTTTATGAGACCTGTGCTATTTTAATGTTAGTATGGATGCTTTTTTCTTTTTTCATTCATTTTTATAAAATTCGGAAAAGTATAATATTTGTATGAACAACCTCTGCTGTACAACAGTGGCAACATATCTGAGACTGAAATTTGACCTAGAAATTTTACTGCCATTTATCAGCTGCTTTATAAAAGAAAATTAGGTGTGTTGTTCTGGAAAACCACGTGTGAAAGTTGGTGATTGCATATTCTGTGTTCAGCAGCTATTGTGAACAGGGCCAATTACTATCACAGTTGAAAAAAGAAACTATCATTGTTCTGTTTTTCTCATAAAAATAATACATGCTTATTGAAAAATACTGGAAATTCAGAAATCACATATTATTCTGTTTTTATTCTTATTTTACTGTACCTGTAAAGAAACACATTAACCTATATATCAAGTTGTTTTTATACTATTTGCTTTCAAGATTCTCTATAGTATTTTACTTGTGCTACAGATGCTTACCCATTGGATTTTTTTAGGATATTTTCAGCTTGCTAATTCAAAGATTACTGTAATTCATTTGGATACTTTACATACTAATGATATTAAATCTTTATTTTGCTTTGTCATTTACCTGTCTTTGTATATGGTAGAGTTTTTCAAAATACAAAAGTTTAAAATATTTTATGTAATCAAACTGTATAAAATCTTCTGATCTTTTACTTTTTTCTTGTGTACTCAGAAAGGCTTCCATATATTGAGCTGATAAATATTTTTTCTGACATATACGTACCCCTGTGTTCATTGTAGCATTATTTACAATAGCTAAGATATGGAAGCAACCTAAGTGTCCATCGATAGATGAATGGATAAAGAAATTGTGGAATATATATACTATGGAATATTAGCCACAAAAAAAGAAGGAAATCTTGGGACAACATGGATGGACCTGAAGGATATTATGCTAAGTGAAATAAGACAGAGAAATACTGTATGATTTCACTTATATGTGGCATCTAAAAAAACAAAATAAATGAACAAACAAAACAGAAATAAACTTATGGATACAGAGAACAAATTGATGTTTGCCAGATGGGAGGGGCTTGGGGGATGGGTGAAGATGAAAGGGATTAAGTACAAATTGCCAGTTATTAAAATAGTCATGGGGTTATAAAGTACAGCATAAGGAATAGTCAGTAACATTGTAATAACTATATATGGTGTCAGACGGGTACTAGACTTTTTGGAATGGTCACTTCATAAGGTATGTAAATGTCTAATCACTGTGTTGTACAACAAACTAATATAATAGTGTATGTCAACTGTAATTAAAAAATTAAAATAAAATAAATATTTTTCTTGTTTTATTGCTTATATCTAAGACATACAATATTTGGAATTAAATTTGCTTATAAGATAAAGTACTAATAATCCTTCCCCCCCCGCAAAGTATTTAGCTAGTTTATCAGAGCCAAGCATTGAATAGTTTTTTATTTTATTTTTAATATAACTCAGAATTTTTAATGTATTTTTTTATTGACTAGATTACATATGAACCCTAATAAGATTACATCCTATAAAGGATTTTAAATGAGGTCTTGATTGGGAGAGGAATTCTGTATTCCTGCTTTTTTACATAGGAGTTCTTGTTTTGAAATTGAGTTTAATGTATATTTGTTGATTATGAGTTGTGTACAATATTCCAACAAAATTAGGATTTTTCCATTTTTGTAAGTGGGCTAAGTATTTGTTAGTATTACTTTCTACTGTGAATCCAGGTGAAATGCTAAATAAGTCGTTGAGTTGATCTTTAATATTTGCTCATCCTTGACCATTTTGCTAAATAGAAGCAAAAACATATGTATCTAAATGTCTTATATGCTTTTCTTCACCCAGAGTACAGTTTTACATAATATATCTTTAAAAATTAATTACTGACAGAATCTGACATTTTTTTCTTTTTCAAGGGAAAAATTTATACACAAATGAATATGTGGCGATAAAACTGGTAAGTTCTTGTGTCTTGTTTTTCCTTAATTAATTCCTTGTTATTTTGTAATAATTACATTTTAATTACTTTTTTGTTTTCATATTTATAACTTGAATGTTTATTGAGAAAGTGATATGCGTAACTGATCTTTTATATTGTCCCAGCATCATCAGGCCCCTTACGTATATAATAACATGTAGGATGTCTGTGTTTTTCTGTGCCATGAAAACTCAATCCCTGTACTTCGGCAGCATTATAGAATTGAATTTTTTAATTTTAGCATTATTTTTAATTTAAGGAAGGGGGCATTTTGGCATTTTTAATTAGTTAAAAATTAGCAAGATTTCTCTTTCTCATTCAAGCATTTGGATATAAGTGTCCTTAGTGTTCAAGATTGTATTCTTTGAAAAAATATTTTTCGGTAGCTTCCGAAATCTCTTTTGCTATTGGTACTTTATATATGGTAAAGCTGGCCATTGTTTGACCTTCAGAGATTGAGAACTGCCTGCTGTGA